TGCCTTAGGCGATAACTCGTGCCTAATTTCTTGAAGATACCTCGTCAAATAAACAAATTTTCCATACAAGCATTTTACTCCGATCGTTCAGTTAATATGGCAGCTATATGCTATAGTCATCCGATCGATTCAATTTCTTTGGCGATTAGATTATTGCCTTAAATAATAATCCATGCCAAATTTCGTGAAGATACCTCGTCAAATGAAAGAGTTTTCCATACAAACACTTGATTCCGATTGTTCAGTTTGCATGGCAGCTATATGCTATAGTGGTCCGATATCGGCTGTTCCGACAAATGAGTAGCTTCTTTGTGAGCAAAGGACAGGTGAAAAAGTTTAGAACGATAGCTTAAAAACTAAGGGACTAGTTTGTATATATACAGACACACGGACAGACAGACGGACATGGCTAAATCAACTCAGCTCATCATGCTGATCATTTATGTATATATTTTATAGGGTCTCCGACGTTTCCTTCTGGGTGTTACAAACTTCGTGGCAAACTTAATATACCCTGTTCAGGGTATAATTACATAAATGCAAACAATATCTTTGTAGATACATACAAACATATCACCATTGGTGCTATTCTTTTTGCATAAACTATTAACATGCATCGATAAGGGCTTAGTTCTTAGCTTACTGTGTTATCCTGTAGGATTTGTTTACATTTTGCATAGGTACGCATTATAGCACAAACAGTCATCGACATTCCTCCCTTCCGTACTTACCGCCCGTATCAAACCAAATTTGTCAAAAGTTATGCCCGTAGTTGCAACGCAGAAATCAGTTGTTCTCTTTTGCTTTTACTTCACCAATGATTTTTCACACATTTAGTTTTTTAGTTATAATTTTTCATAATGTAAAAGCTCAAAACTAAAATCCAACTATTAAAAATAGTTAACCTATTTATAAATAAGTGTATTTGACTGTGATTTTGAGTTATTTTAAGAATATTTCAAATATATTCAAGTTAATTTTTTAAGTTGCAAGTTATTGCTTTCTCACTCTCAGCTTACTCGTTTCTACGGAAAAAATTAAATTTTTGCGGATATCCTACCGTACGGCATGGATAAAATGATCCGAAACTCTTTGATTCGAGAGAGCGCTGAAAAAAGTCCACATTTTTATTACATTTCACAGTGGTGCCCCTCAAGAAAAAAATAAGTTTTGAAATTTTTTAATGTATTTCTTGAGTATTTTTCAGTTTCCATTTTACAGAAAAATATACATAAATTAGTTTAACAAGCTAGATATCCTATATGACGTTTAAATATATATACATGTATATTTTAATTACAAAATATTTTCAAAATTAACGTTTAAAACTAAATTTATCAAAATATTTTAATATTTCAAAACACTTACAAGTTTTAAATAACCTAAACATGAACCTTATTTCTTTTTTATACGCTCTATAAATAAATATCTTTTGATAATTTGTTCAGAAGTTAAAGTTTACGTAACATTTGCTGGGAATTCTAAGCAAATATGTATATACGTTGACAATTGGTACTGCTAAGCAAAACAATACTCCGCGACAAAATACCCGCTCTTTCTTAAAAACAAAACTATATTAAATCTCTTTAAATAAAGATTAGAAATATACGTAAACACGTCACAAAAAAATCTGATCTCATAAATTACCCACTGATTTCGAAATTTATTTCTGCGGGATTCCTATACCAAACAACAAAACAATGCACTACCACTAAGAATCTTTTGTGATCAAAATATACACGTACATATATTTAGACATCATATAGGATATCTAGCTTGTTAAACTAATTTTATTTATGTATATTTTTCTGTAAAATTGAAACCGAAAAATACCCAAGAAATACATTAAAAAATCTCAAAACGTATTTCTTTCCACAGTGGCACCACTGTCAAATGTTATAAAAAATGTGGACTTTTACAGCGCTCTCTCGATTCAAAGAGTTTCGAATCATATTATCCATGCCGTACGGTCCGTTGAAGCGGACGGTAGAAGTGGTGGTGACTGTTCATTTACATTGCGCTCTCATAAGATAGGTCGTATCAGCTGATTCGGTCCACGGTTTTGCATCGGTGACTGTTTGTGCCAATAGGAGCGTACGCTTTTCAGTATTGGGCCGAAAAATTGTTCAAGAAAATCTGCACATCACCAGTACTAATACCATAAATTAATATTTGGTGATATCAGATTTTGTTATAATAATAAAACTATTTAGAGTATTAAATCTTGATTGCAGTTTTAGTTTCGAGTTTTTAGAATATTTGGAATAAAATACACCTTTACTACCCAATTAGTTTCTGAACTGAGTATTCCATCAATTCATATTATAATAATACATACTTATACATATTTAAGTTCGTAACTTATGTAAGGTCAAAAAAGCTGAACTCTTAATATTAAATGCCATTTACAGATCAAGTCAGCGGAATATTTCATGTAACCGAAAAACTTATATCTTGCTTACAAATAGTCAATCTCACTGAGACAAAACTAATCTTTGAATAATTAAGATGCACCAAATCCCAATTGAGTTGTTTTGTATATGTCGATATCCATTTTGCTCAAATAAGAATCGTTAAGCCAGCTTCGAAATGGAATCGGACATTGTGGAAAAATCAGTTTTATTACTCAAAAAAATGTCTATCGAAAACGATACACCGGTGATTATTTCTTCATTGTCATAAGATTTCTTTTCACCAAGCATTATTTTGACTCTCTAAGACCTCATTTAAAAGTCGAAGAAAGTCAGATACGGAGAATACGACATCTGAAGCAATCTGAAACTTATTTGATTAAGCTTCGTAACTGTATAATGTATGTATAACGCCAAAAGCTCCCGGAGCTTGGTTGGGAGGCTCTTATACATCCATCTTATATTCCGGATCTGGTACCAATAGATTAGTACCTAATACTCTCTGTGGTAAATGGTTTCGCTGGTGTAAAATTCGCCACAAGAGGTGTTTATGAAAATCGAGTGTTCCATATAAAATCACAATAAGTTATCGAACAATTCAGAGCATATTTCACCTAAATTGGATCACAAATATAACCTTGCATTCAATGAAATAATATCTAATGGACTTCTTTTTACTAGACCTTACAGTATGAACGTATATTTTGAAGGGTGGTCTAACTACCTAACATACGGAGTCACTTTTACTTACTACAATAGTATTGGCAAAGATACGAACTTTTGAGTCTGCATGGTATTAGCTGTAACGAGTCGAATAAATTATTGCTATAAAACATATAGACTGCGAACAATCGGAATATATTTGCAAGCAGGTATACCAATTAACGAATACTTTTACTAAATTTAACTGAATAACATGTAAATGTTTATCGATAAATCAAAGCCCAAACATTATGTGCAGAGAATTGATGAGTCGAAGACGTCGATTGGTTATTTATCTCTAAGGCCGGCGTGTCGTCGGGCGAAAAAAACTCACATCATGACTCCCTGTTATTGTAAGAGTCTACGTATATCTTTTTCTCTTTCAAGTCTCATTGGTTTTACGAAAAGTAAAGTTTCAGTCACGAACACACTCAGAGGTGTAAAAATGCCTGTTGAAAGGTAACCGTTTTCCATGGTGTGAGTAAGCTCTGCTTGAACTCGGCTTCCGTGGTGTGATAATGTATTACTGTCCATAGCTAGCCGTTATAGCCTTAAATATAGCTAGTTAAAAATCCACTATTTCATCTAATGAACATACCGCATTGGCAACACCCGATTCTTTCACCACTACAGTTAAGTACATCAGTAGATGGGAAGCGAGAACGCTCGGGCACTCCGAAACACAGATGCCCTAATACATTTTAAAATGCACACACCCAAGTGCACGCCCACATACATAACAAAGTTAGAATAGGTTTGTTGTGATAACTGTTTTATTTGGCTTTGTGTGGCATGACCACGGCGGAGTTGCGATAAAATTAAACACACTTCCAGCAACACCGTAACTGCGAACAGAGCCAGCGAGAGAGATAGCAGAACTCTGTATTCTACACAGGCATGGAGAATGAGCGCTGAAGGCAAAGAGTGCTGCGACAATGCAACCAGCAACCGGTCGCCACTGAGCGACAGCAGTGCCAGGCATCAATAAGTGCCGTTTCAGACAGGGATGCAAAAGAGTCTGATCTTTTTCAAATTTTCTTTTGGTGTCGCTCTGGGCATTCACACGGTCAAAAAGAGTCCAGCAACTCGAGTCTAGTTTTTCTGCATTCCTTTTCACAAAATGTTCGTAAATATTTGTGCGGTTCGACTGCGCAACACCGCGCAACACTGCATGCTGCGTATTTCATTTGTATGTTGAGATGATGGTCACACATTTTGCTTGCAATGAATTACCATGAATATGGTAGAACAATATGCATAATACAAGTACCTACCCGCTAAATAGTTTCAAAAAAATACTAAAGACGGGAATTCCCTAATCCACAAGAATGTATTGAATATCCGCAACTAATATTTTCAAGGCCAAATTTATAATAGGAATTTCCTAATCTTTAAGTATTAAAAACTCATAATTTCTTTACTCCGTATTAAAAATTCATAATTTCTTTACTCCATAATCTATATCTTAATTTTCTCCTTATTTACAATTTGTCATAATATTTCTATTATTCTATGCATACGTATTTGCATATTACATACAAAAATAGATAACAGAACTCAAATTTGCGATCGAATTCATTTGAAACCGAGCGCTCTTGCAACCATTCAAAGGATTTGAAAGTGAAAAGGAATGCTGAAAAGGGTAGCAGCGAGCTGTTACGAACAAGAACACAAAGCGTGCCACCCGAACACGAGTGGCACGGTCCCTTCGTCTTTCCTCGTCATCCCCTCACCCACAATAAACTGGTTTGAGACTCTTTTGAGTCCCTGTCTGAAACGGCACTAAAGAAGCACTGCTGAGCGAACGGCATTTGCGCAGCGTTGGGGCCATATGAGCGCTGCTAAATGGCTAAGAGTCGCGCAGCGCAGTCACGGCAAAGGTGAGCTTAGGCCTCAGTTTGTTTCGGGCTCTCGTGCTAAACGGTACAACACGTTATCGATGCGATATCATCGACAACTTGTGTTTCGCGACAAAATCAAAGTTAACGACGAATTACAACGAATTGTGTTTTGATTCTCGAGTGGATACAATGCAAAGTATGTTTGTGTGAGTGATGATATTGAAGCATGAAGCATGAATATGAAGAATTTGTAAGGCCTAACAATAGGCTAATCGTGTTCACTTAATATATTGCCTGATGAGGCTTGTGACACAACAACAACAAGTGATATTGGCGAGCAAGTGATAAAAATAACAATGCAATTGGACACAAAAATAAAAATATATATAGCGTACATTTGTACATATGTATTTATGTGTCTAGAAGTGCATAATTGACTTAGCAATCTACAATTTAAGTGTTGTGTTGTTTGTGGATGTGTGTGTTTGTGTCACTGTGCTCAGCAGTCCGTCATTGCAATCGACAATTGAGCATCTTAATTTTAAACAATACAGATAGACGCAGACTCACCGGTGTCCAGCTGACGTTTCAAAATTAAAATAACAAGGAATGAGTAAATAAATGTAGTAATATTGTGAGGGTGTTTAGGCTACGTGTTTTCCAAATGAAGATTTCTCTACTTGTTTGGTTGTGTGAGTTTGTCACAGTCTCAGCCGGAGTGTAATTCAAGTTAATTTGTAGCGAATGAAATTGAAATGAATAAGTTCCCTTGAAATATCAAGTAAACTTATCAGACTCGGGTTAAAAAATTCCATTTTGGTTTTGTATGCGAAACAGTGAAAATGCATACATACATACAGTGTACTAAATATCAGTGATAGAACGTGTTTTAATTGTACAATTGCAAAAAAAATAGTGAAACATTTTAAATGCCTAGAACAATAACTACTATTTCCAACCTATAATTATTCAAAACGCGTAATATTAAAATATTATTAGTCAAGCCAATTAGCATCCTCGGTTTAATAATTGCTACAATATATCTGCTTAGGTTCCTTTTAATATTCAACATGTCTAGAGGTGGGTGTTGGTTTTTCTAATAAATAGCTGTAGCTCAGGAATGTTGAATTATTTTGGCTTTCACGAACTTTCTCTGGGGGACAAATATATTTCTAGCATTTATCTAAATTAAAAAGAAGTAATAAATGGTTAAAAGGAATGCATATTATAAGTGTTTTTCAATTAATTACAGAAATCTAACTTTATTTATAAAAAATATGTATGTGTTATTATTACCAGATTTTGTTCGCTTTGGTATCAGATTTTTTGTATGTGTTTGTGGTATATAGAGTAGCTCTTACACCGAATTCCATATGTAAATATATACTAAAATTTATAAAAACTACCAGTTGTTACACCCGAAATTCGGAGGAAAATTGGGATAAACCTCGTTGCTTAAATTTGTTGCCTCCGTTTTAAGTCGAAATCTTTAAAAGTTGTTTTGATTATAAAAATGTTAAATATTCTTAACAAACTTGAATATAATATTTTCAATATTTTAACCGTTTGACAATTTGAAGATGTGGTTTAAAATAGTTATTAGAACTTTAATTAGTAGTAGCCCTATTTTCAATATCTTACATAGAATTTCCAAAATTTCACTTGAGTTATATTGTTAATAGATTATTTAAAATCCCCCTGTCTTTATAAATATATAAACAATGCGTATTGTGACCCTCAACTCCAATGCTTCAGAAAAAGGTGCTAAAAATTTTGAAAGGACTCTTATTGAGCTTAACTCTAAAAGTGCATGTGGCATTTTTTTAGAGGTCACTTCATTAATTTTGATGAAAAGAAAGTGCAGATGAATTCCTAAATTAAAAAAAAAAATCATAGTTATTTTACTCTTTTGTTGACCTTGTTTTATCTTTCCCAAATCTGCACTTTCCACAACAACAATTTAAACTTTTCACCTAAATTATATATAAATGACTCTGTTATACTAGCTGTCTTCGATTCGTTACTAAACTACCCATATGTTATCTTTGCACGCTGCTCTTTTGTAAAAAAAATTACAATAAAAGCAACAACAAAGTTATGGAGTTGAATTCATACAAGAGAGTATGCGGTTACCTCATTAAATTGGTATATCTTCAATACTACCAAATTTTATTTTGCATAGTTTAGTTCAGTTTTACTATTGTAGTGAATGGTTCAAATGACAAGGGAAATTACAAGTTTAATTTTTTCTTTAAATTTAAAAACTTAAGAATTAAAATAAATTGTAATAGTTTATAGGAAACTTAACTAAGGGGTTACCAAAACATTTTTGACGCGGGTCCTTTTTTCACCTAGAAGGTGCTCATATGTCGAAAACGCCAATATCGGGCAACTATAGCTGCTCTACAAACTAACCGATCAAACTCAAGTCCTTGGAAAACTTTTTAATTTGGCAAGGTATCGTTTCAAAATTTTTCATGGATTTTTGTTAAAGGCATCGCTACAGTCTCCGAACATATTGTTCAGATCGAACCAATACTCATATAGCATATAGTTGTCATTCAAATTGATCGATCAAAATCAAGATAAAGGTCTTTTTATACCCTTTTATGCTATAAAAAATGCACCTGTGAAGGGTATTATAACCTTGATGCAGTCGAAGTAAACGTTTTTTCTTGCCTTATATTTCTTGAGTTTTTAAAAGTAATACTTTTTTGCAATTACAGTAATTTGATTAATTTCCGATAATTCGGCAGCGAAAAGTTTAAGAGAACGGAATAATTGAATTTGCATATAAATTATCAAAATTATTTATTAATACTCATATAATTTCGTAATTGCGATTGACTTCAAAAATTTGAGTTGTGTTATAGTAAAGTTTTTTTTTCAAATGCATTTTTTAATATAAAGAGAAATCATTAAACAAAACTAATAGTCAAATACATATATTTTTAGACTATGGTTTCTGACTACGTTCTAAAGGTTTTTGTTAAAAAATGTTTTAGTTTTTATGGAATAATCTTGCTTCTAGCTATCTTTTGTATACAAATTTACTGTTTTCAACTAATGAAGTTAACTGTAATTAAATTAATTAATGTTTAAAAATGCAAATGCAATATTTTACAAAACATTTTAATTCACAGGAGATAATCTGATTGCATGACAAATTATTCTTAAATATAATAAGTGTTTACATAAATAATTTGAGAGAAATTTTGCTTATTAAATGAAAAATGAATACTCTCAGCCGGTAATATATCTTGTTTTAAAAATGTATACTATAGTAGTGGAAAAAGAACTTAAAGAATCAATTTAGTAAAATTTTTTTATTTGAAAAGTAATTGAAATTATTCAGTAACTTAAATCGTTAAAAATATTTTTACATATTTTATTAAAATTTTAAGCTTACAAAGGGTGTTATTGAAGCACATTGGTAATTTATTTAAGTTAAACTCTACAAGAAAATAAGCGCTTGATGTGGTTATGTATTTTTCACAATTTATATGAGTTTTACCTGAAAAACCTGCAATAAGATTTTAAGCAGAGCTCTATTAGGAAAATCTACTCATATGACTCACTTAAAATGAATACAGTTCCATAATACTAAGTAATCATAGTTTTATTTATGTAAAAATTTATCTTTTAATTGCTAATCAAAAGCTGAGTAATGCTGTATATTTGTACAAGTGCAAGTTTTGCATACCGTGTAAAATATTATTGCATGTAAACTACCTTCACATTACAGTAGTGAAGTGAATTTTAGTATTTGCTAGTCAAGAGAAAATATAGCTATGTATTTATAAATAAAACAAAAACAAAAAGTTACTAACGTGGTGTTATTTAGTGTACAGTAGTTATCATACAAACTCGGGTTTAAGTTTTATTGTCTCTGAATGACTGTCAAGTGTTCTTATGGTATAAGAAACTCTGAGTTTAAGTTGACATTTCTTAATCGACGGTAAACTGTCACAACAGTTAACAGTACGCGTAAATTTTATGATGGGTTCTTAGGGAAGTTAAATAAAAACTAATTCTTTCCGTTCTTTTATTAAAAAAAATATTTTTAGACCCACATATTTGATTAAAAAAATATTTTTGGTATAGTTAATTCTTTATAATTTATTTTATATAAATCTTAACATTCAACAAAGCTTCCAAAAAAAAATTTATTATAAAATTTATAATTTTTTTAAGTTTAACTTTTTAGTGAATAACAATAAAGTAAAATATTGTTAATAAATTATATGTATTAGATCCGTGCATTTGTTTTGAAAAATAAAAAACAGGTTAAGCTTAGTAAATTTTTTTTGAAATGGCATTATAACTTATTTTTATCTTCTAAAAACCGTTACAAAAAAAACATTTTCTAAAATTTTATTTTATTGTCTTTCAAGTTTCCACTTTAATTTTGTAATAAACACATAGTAATTAAAGAAAATAAATATTTTTAGATCCAAAGTTTTTAAGCAGCATCACTAATTATTATTATTAATTTGAAACTTTAATGTATTTTTAACATTTGAAACTATTATAAAATTTTATATATTCAAAATAGTAAATAAAGTAAAATACAATTTAAATTAATTTTAAATTACTGGTTTACATCTATTTTAAAGTAAATAATGTTTGGGAAATAATAATAACTACACATATTGGAAATTTAAAATATTCAATTTGAATTAATTTGTCAATGGGGTTGCCCATATAAGTAATTGAATTATTAATAATAATAATAATAACCCAACGATTACCCTCCTCCCGCCCAACCGACGCGAGAGGCGCAATCCGCATACGTGCGGAATTAGCCGAGTCAGGAAAGGCAAGAGAGTTTTTTAAGTGTTGAGATCTAAAACTGCTCAGCTTCAGAAACAAAAATTTCAACAGCTAAGATCTAAAGTTACAATATAATAAATTGTTACATTTTCATTTATTAAGAGAAAACAATAAAGTCTTTTTAATTTTGAAAAGTGAGTCAGATAAGTCAAATGTGCTGGAATGAGAATTAAAATCATGACATATACGGCGGTATATGTGTATGGAGGTAGACTTACCCTAGCATCCCATCGGAAATGCGCTAACGCGAAAAGTAAAAATTGTTTTTGAGCCGACTCTAACTTGTCAGAATGGATTTGGTAGCTAGGGTTCCATACCACAGAGCCATATTCCAATATAGGTCTAACCAAAGTTGTATAAAGTGTTTTAGTAATATACGGATCTCTAAATTCTTTATACCAACGTTTAACAAAACTGAGGACAGCTTTTGCTTTCAAGACCATGGTATCAATATGAAGACTGAAATTAAGCTTAGGGTCCATATTAACTCCCAAATCAACATAGTTTAAAACTTGCTCTAGAATTGAGTAGTAATCTACATTTACATACTCGAACCCAAACTCGTCTCTGACTTGTAAAAAAAAAATTAATATTGTGGATATTTTATTTTTTGCCACTTATAAATTATAAAATTTTTTTTTACAATTTAAAAATTAAAAATTAATTTCCCCATAAATTATGTTAACATGTGTAAATATCTTTAAAAAAGCCAGTGCTAACTACCGATTCATCTCTCTCTATTTAGTGTTACTAAACTGAAGCGCCAAATGAGTGCATAGCAAGTAAAAACGGCGTTTGGTAAAAAAAAAAAACACTTGCAATATAAACTGCAGCTAAATAGCTACAAGTAGTGAGTGGTGAAAAGGAAAGGTGAACAAAAACTCACCAATTTGAACAAAACCAAAATAATTCAAGCAATCATAAAAATATACAAAACAGAGAAAAGATCGAAAACCTTTCACTGACACCCAAATAGCAAAAATACACATACACATACATACATACATATGTACTTGTTTAAAAATATGTAGATAAAATTCAAAGCGACAAAATAAAAATATAAACAATCAAAATAAAACAAACACATACATATATGTACGTATTTGCATAAACAACAAACAGCGACGCGATCCAGGCGACGTTAGCAGAAATCCTACCAACACACATACACACGCACCCACGTAAAGTACGCTTTTATTGCAACACAGCGCTTGTGATCTATTTGCTGTTGATTATTTTCCAAATTCAACATTTTCGGCTGAATACCGCCTTTCTCGAGGTGCTACGACTGCGCATGTGTGCTAATGTGCCTGCCTACCCCACTAAGCAAGGCCGTGTTGCATGTATGATGACGCGAGTGTGAAGCGTGATTTATTGAACGAAAGTAAAACGCAAGGCGCAAGTGAGAAAATTAAAACGTGAACCCAATTTATCAATAATAACAACAATACAACTTCCTTCCTAAGTCTACTAATAATCGCGTGGTCGTGGTAAAACTGTGAGTTTCGCATGCGCCTACGAATTGGCAACCTAAATCGATATTTGAATGTCCGAGCGTGTGTGCAAAATGTAGGAAACTTTTCTTTTTAACGCGAGCGTGAAAACGAGTACCCAGACAAAGCGTGCTGGACTAAGTGAATCGGGATTGCGACGCAGTTAGTTGTTGTCACTCTCAATAGACCAGCCACATATACATATATATAAACGAGAGTATAGCGTATGCAGAGTTAATAAACCGCGTTTAGTGACCGGCGGAATACCCAACTAACCTAGATTAAAATTTAGACACAAACATAGCCGGAGCCACAGCCTCTGACATTATGGCCATGCGCATCGCGTAGAAATAGGCTGATTAATATAAATCAAATCTGAAACGAGTCTGCGCAGTAAACAAGAATTTTCTATTCAGCTTTGTGGAGGAAAAAGTATATGATAGCGCCTACAAATGTACAAGGCGCGAGGCGAATGCAGCCATAGTAAATTTGAAAATCAACTGAACAAAAGGTGGTGAATTGACGGAGAGTTGAAAGTGCGGTGGCAAACAAGTTTGGTTCCACTAAAAGTGCAGCTACGACAACGGACTGCAAATAAAAAGTGACCTACAAATACAGGTTTTCATTTGGTTATTGTGACGGCCGACAGCAACGGTCTGAACTAAAGCCGCAGCCAGAACAACAGCAGCCAACGTAAATAACAAACCATCTATACAGTCGCCACATACACTTGCATACATTGAATAACCATAAAACATAGCTACTAATTCAGAGTGGACAAGTGAGGCGACGGCGCAGACAATAGACGGCCAGTGAATCGCGTGTAAACCTAGGTAAAACCAGCTATGGCAACCACAACCTCACCAACAACAATAATGTCTACAACGGTGCCGGCAATGCCGTTGAAAAAAGCTGGACCACCGGTCCCACCGAGGCCATCGCATGCAAGCGCGCACGCAGTGGGTTTATTGAAAGCACAACGCAATGGAGAATCAGTTATGAATGCTGCGACAGCAGCAGCACAGAATCGTGTTGCGACAACAACAACAGGCACATCAATGGCATCATCAACAGCGACCAGTTCGGCTACGACTTTGTCTTTGAGTGGTCGCATGAGTGTTGGCAATGGGAGCACAGTTGCGGCGACGCAATACAATTTACAACATCCGATTATACGTAAGAAACCAAAGTTGAGCTCAGTTGGAGCCGGAGCTGGTGGTCGTACGGTTATTTATAAGTCACCCTCGATGAATGTACAAAAACGTTCGGAAGAACTATCGCCCACAGCAACCAACAATACCATTAACAACCGATTCGGTCCAAAGCCGCCTTTAAAACTACGCAAAGCACCCGATATACCGACAATGAAACCGAAAGCCACAGTCCCGGTGCAAAATAAAGCTACAGCTCCAGTGCAAAAAGATGGTAATGCCACCAAAGTGGATGTTAATAGTGTGATCGGTAAAATTCCAGCCCCACTGCCAGCTGCCACAGTAAATGCAACAGATACAAATAATGCCAGTGGTGATGTCGTTATCGTCCAAACGTCGGCCAGCGCCGTCAATCTCAGTCGCCATCACTCCATGGGTAGTGGCTCACCAAAATCGCAATCGCAAATGAGCGGCCTTAAGGATACACGTCTCAGCTTAGGTCGTGCTGACTTTGAGCGCATTGGCAAGATACAGCTCGACCAGTTGCCGACATCGATGCAACCCCTACCGCGTCCGCGTAAAATTGTTAAGTTGCCTGTCGCTACGCTTGACTTGGATGATACTTCTATCAATAATGGTTCACAACCGAATTCGTCCGGTGTGAGTATTTTTCGTCGTTCGAAAACTACACTTGATAACTTTACATTACGTGCCAATATCACCACAATCAATACGGGTGCCAATACTTTTCTGGGCGGTAAGACGGCTGAGCTCAAGAACAATCTGAAGAACGCGGCTGAACGTTTGTTTTCGGAAATAATAGTTAACCAACAGCGTCACGGCACCGAATTGCCAGTAATAACAAAACATGAGCCTGCTCTGCAACATCAGGCAACACCTCATGCCACTACCGCTGGTGGTACTTCGGTTACTGTGCTTACAACCGGTGAGCTGGTCAATAATTGCACACGTATAAATATCAATACGAATGAAAGCACTCAGGGTATGAAAGGAAAAATGGAAAATATCCTAAAGTCACCGGAGAAGAAGGCAGCTTTCCATGAGATACTTATATCCGAATTGGCGGCAATGCGTGACAGAAGCAGCTCCATGGAGAATTTGACTAGCGTTGAAACGCCTAAAATTACTAAAAGGGAACAAACGCCACTAAGCAGTCCAGTATCGGAGCCCATCAAGTTAACAACAATAAACGCAAATGAAGCGACAACGTCAATAATAACAACAACAAAAGGATTATTAAGCAGCACCACTTCAAATAACAGCAACATCGATATCTCTAACAACAAAATACGTCAGCGCTGCAATTCCATTGAAGATGCGGATCCTGACACCGAAGATGTCGATGCTGATAACATAGAAGACACCGAAGATGGTGAGGAAGATGATATGCAAAAGAATAATCGTAACAAAAAATTGAACGGTGTTGGCACACCGAGAAAACGTTGCCCTTCAGGATGTTCATCAGATTCGTCACCATATGGCACTGAACGTTCGGCGCGTATACGCACTTCCGATTGGATTGAGGTAGGCGATAATGGCAAAGAGGTCACCATGACCAGCTGTCACATAAGTTTGGAGGATTCGGGCTTGGAGGATGAAGAGCGTTTGGATGAAATGTCATCGCTCGGCGTTGGTGATTCTTGGGATAGTGTAAAGGAGGCAGAAAATGTTAAACGGTGCCGCACTCTGAAGAGGTGAGTTATTATACATTTATTATTGAGACAAATTATCAAAGAAATTTGGGATTATACATTGTTTTAATATACCATAGGCTGTGGTTCATAAAACGCTTTGAGCGATTAGGAGGATAAGTGTTTTCTTTATCTCTAAATTCAGATTTGTTGTGTACGTCGGTGTCTTTTTAACTAAAATATAAAAATTTACAGCTGAAAAAGCTTTATAAGACTTAAATATTGAAGTGAGAACCTCCACAACCCCGCATTTCTAAGACGCCAAGAGGGCGGGAGATAAAATGTCTTATCTTTCTAGACATCAGGCGTCTAGAAGGCTTAATAGGAATTAAGTCTATTACGTAAATATCTGAAGTTTTATAGGAAAAATTATGGATATGGAGGATCACTTATATTTTGTAAAACCATGATGATTATGATATAGTGATTTTATTAAAAATTAAGTACTCCGTAAGACCTCGAAGATTGGTGGATGATTTTTACGGATAACCGCGCGCCATCTTAGATCGATTTGAATGATTTGTTCAGTGTAATGATTAAAAATAAGCGTCCTGAGTATTGCCACCAGTAGCAAAATGAAAAGGAAAAAAAGAAAGAATATACAAAAGAAGATATCAAACTGAATATAGAGGTTGAATTATCTATTTGAGTAGGGTTGCCACCTGTTTAATTGGTGTTAATTTATCATAAACATAATATAATAATATTTCTAAAAGGCTATACAATTTTAATGTCTTATAGTTGCAATTATTTTTAAGAAGGGCTGTCACCTGTTTAAAATATTTAATTTAATAATACATATTGCGTTCATGATGCAATATAACAATATATCTAGGTATAAAGGAAGGATTAAGAAGTCTTATAAATTACTACTAATTTTAAGGGTTACAATCTATTTAGGTATCCAACTTAATAGGTTTATAAAATTTTCTGTTGAAGATATCATATAGAAGAAGAAAAAATTATTAATGCTAAAAACCAAAACCGTTTAAGAACCATTATACTATGGTGCACATAATTTACATGGCTAAGAAATTTTGAATAATTTTTTGCAGAAGCAAAACTAATTGAGGATTTCAATTTGAGTAAAAATATTGATGTTAACACTGGATCATGACTTTTATGTGAAAATAAATGTGTGAGGACTCTTTCGTTTAATCTTAGATTTCAATAATAGTACATAAACAATAAAAAACTTAATTAAACATTTTTCGATAAATACAGGAAATCTCGATGTTCAGCTTTTCTCGTCCCTGTATCGTAGTCGTTGTGTCTGTCTGCAATCTCTGCTATCTATTTACATGATCCGCTCGACTTAGAAAAATAATGACACAGTCGAAACATAACATTAGATACCATTGGATTGGTGAAGATTCTCTAGGCCTGCTAATGGATACTCACTTTCCAGACAGTTCCGAGAACCAAAAAAGGGAGCATACACTGGAGAGTGAAGTGGTAGCAGAGTCCCCTCCGGTAAACCTAGCGTCTAATAGTAATGTTTATTGGGTGATAGGCAGCTTCAAGCCTTATAAATCGCCCGGACCAGACGGGATATTCCCGGCTCAGTTAGAGCAGTCCCTGAGTTACATAATAAACTGGTTAACAACCATGCGTAATATTATAAATAACCAATATTCCCTCGGTATGGAGGAAAGTCAAGGTGATATATATACCAAAGGTGGGCAAGGGCTCACGCACTAATCCAAAGGATTTAAGACCAATAAGTCTTTCCGCATTTCTCTTAAAAACACTGGAGAGACTAACAGAAATACACATAAGGGGCAAACTAAACCGACGAAAAATAGTAGTTCGCCCCATGCGTATGCTAAGGGTAAATCCACAGAAACGGCGTTAAGCTCAGTGGTAGCAGAGATTGAAAAGTCTCTGGAGATAAAAGAATACACCCTTATAGCTTTCTTAGACATAGAAGGTGCTTTCAATAACTTCCAGTCGTAGGCCATACTGAGCGCGCTTAAAAATCTGGATATCTCTTAGCCTCTGCGGAAATTAATTGAACAGATGCTCTTGGGCTGGTCAATTATTTCAACGTTGGGAGATTCAACGATACGCAGATCTGTCCAAAGGGGTACACCCCAAGAAGGCGTGTTATCCCCACTTCTCTGGATGCTGACAATGAATAAAATGCTTGTGGATCTAGAAAAGAAAGGGGTACATGTTGTGGCCTACGCTGATGATGTGACAGTTTCGGTTAGAGGCAAGTTCCCGGATACCCTCGCTAGCCTTATGCAGACAATATTAAACGATATTAATCCATGGGCCGTATCATGCGGACTGAATTTAAATGCTAGCAAGACAGAACTAGTATTGTTCACTAAGAAACACAGTACTCTAGAAATCACCCCGCCATTATTAAATGGCACCAGGCTAACGATAGGAGATAAAGCTACATGGGACTAATTTAGGACAGGAAGCTTTCTTGGAAGCTAGGGTAAAGAAAGCAGCTACAGCGCTTTACACATGTAAAAGAATGGTGGGGCCCAGATGGGGACTGACGCCTCGGGTAGCTCACTGGCTCTACACAGCAATTGTAAGGCCGATTATGACTAACGGTATATTGGTATGGTGACCTACCTACATGATACGCTTGTCCGTCTCCAATATCAAACGTTTTTTATCCTGTTTCCTGTCAATGTTTTTTGTTTGTGTTTTTTGCTTTAATTTTTAATGCGAACAAGTATGTGATATCGTTACATAATACCTAACCGTTTAAATAAGTCAGCAACAACGAAGTGGACAACTGCATACTGATATTTGATTAGTTAAGGATATTTGTTTACTTCTTGTAGCATGATCGATCGGTGGCGAGCGACTACGGATGTTTACCGCAAGGCATATACATACCATATACACATACATATACAATATAATATCCACAAATACATTTCCATAGCTACATTGTGCTTGCATTTCGTATGCCAATTCTTTGCTCGGCACTTACCATTACTCAGAGATTCGCTACTGCCAGCATTTAATTAAGGTTGATAAACTGTAGCTGCAATGAAGTCAACTTATTTATTATTTAGTTATTTTGAAATTGTGTACACAGGGGCTATATGCACATAGATATGAACCAAATCACACCCATACAAACAAATATTATTCTGGAACGTATGTATGTAGATTAGGGTGGGTCAAAAAACCAAATTTTTTCGCTTCGTACTCTGGAAAATTGAATGGTAGACATCTCTAAGAAAGGCTTTCCAAGTATGAGCCCTGAATTGTAACGGGCAGGGCTTCCGGCTAACGGTTTTCTATTTTTTTCTTATTATAGATTATTATTTGCCTTAAAAAAGGTTAATGAAAAAATCGTAATAGACCTTTTTTGAAAAGCAACTAGTTTCCTATAAAATATATAAGACGAGACATGTTTTCAAGTAGTTGGAAGCGTACCTTAATGTACATATGTATATGCTACCGCCCGCCTGCTGTGGCCCAAAAAATTCGCAGCGATTGCTGTTTTATGCTCTACATATCCATTGCATATATATCTACTGCGATAAGGTACCACAAAATATTGTTTCTCCTGTTATTTATGTATTTATATATGTACATTAGAGCGGGTCGATTGGTTTTTAATAACATCGCGGAAAATGTGCTCCGAATCATTCTGAACTTTGCCTAAGAGAATATGGGTCTAAACCCGATTTCAGAATCAGCGATTTTGTAGGTGAAGTTTAATTTTTCGGGATTATAAACATATCTTCGTCAGTTTTTAAGATATGCAAATCAAATTCAATATATAGGAACATTTTGACATTCTATTGATCATTTGTCGGAATCGGCCAGTCCAGCAACTATATCCCATGCCTTCCATACAACCGATTATTCAGTTATTTTATTTTCTGGTTGTATGGGAGATATGTGATATAGTTGTCCGATCTGTCCGATTCCGACAAATGACCAATATAATGTCAAAATGTACCTATGTATTAAATTTCATTCGTATATCTCAGAAACTGACGACGAAATATTCATAATCCCGAAAAATTAAACTTCACTTAAGAAACCGCTGTCCCGAAATCGGGTTTAGAGCCGGATTTTCTTAGGCCAAGTTATTCAGAATGATTCGTAGAACATTTCCTGCATACGCGATTTTTCCGTTTTTTGGCTCCCTGTAAATCAACCTGCTACACGGTGTATGTTGTTGGGGTAAGCCAGGAAGACTTTAATGCGGCAACTGGAAGTGAATTTGAAGTCAAAGGTCAGGTAGTTACTTTTGCTGTCATACACAGATATCAATTCAGAAGCAAAAAAATCATTAAATATTGTACAATATTTTATATAACTGCAGATTTGTCTACATACATATAATGGTAGCTGCTTCATTTAAGCGGTTAGGCCAGTCTAGAGCCTACAAAATAATACCTAATTTTGCCAATTTATTCTGGGATTACGGAAAAAGGAATTGGATTTCTCTCTTTCAGGCTTCATGAACATACGTATATTAGAGTTTATAAAAAAAAAGTTATAATAAAATGTTGATACAAAATGGTGGCTACTGGGCAAATCCTTCCAATACCTTTTTACTGTGTTGTTTACTAAATAAAGTTACAGTGGACTTGAAATACATGAAAACATTTTTTTACTATTCTACTTCTTCTTAAAGTTAATAAATAATTAAAAAACTAAAATTTTCATAATTTAATGTACCTTAATGATTGGTAGTTTATTTTGAAAAGTTTTGGAATCCTTTGACCCCGTGGGAATCTCCAGGGGATCTCCGAAAAAAAGTGTCTGGCGGTGAGGAAGTTTTTCAGCTTAAAATTATCTCAAATACAAAAATCCAAAAAAATAATATTATTATTATAGATGAATACCGGATTTCGAAGGACTAGTCAAAACTTTGATTCTTGCTAAAATGGCGGCTTCCCAAGAAAGGGTTGTTTTTTTTTTAAGAAAAAATGTACACGTCAGGTGGCCTAAAAATCGAAATTAATTTATGAAATCTTACTATTTTCATCATTCCCTGACAAATATATCTA